AAGAAGAAGAAGAAGAAGAAGAAGAAGAAGAAGAAGAAGAAGAAAAAGAAGAAGAAGAAGAAGGAGAAGAAAAGCAAAATTAAAGCAGCTAAATTAAAAGCTCTAAAACAGCCCTGAGAGAGTGGAGGAGCTGTTTTTACACCATGAAATATATCCTAATTTATGTGTATCCATTAATATATTATAAATATATAAAATTACAGTAATTATTCTCATGTGAACGTTATCCCTTTAAACTAGTTTAGGGAAATGTGCAGTCATCTGCAAACTATCACTTCTACGGCTGCCAGAGTCTTCTCCTCTGTGCTCCGTCGGCTTCAGAGCGCTCAGACCTCCGCTTCACATCCCCTGCTCCCCCGGGCGCACTCACCTAACTTTTGCGGCCACGGAAGAAATCGCATCACTCCTCAGATTCTTCCTTTTGGACACCGCAGTTCCCATGCTGAAGTGGAAACAACCCAGGGGAGAAAACGCAGACCATTCCACAGATTGGTCGGCGAAGGATGCAGACAGGAGAGGAAAAAACCGCGAGGAAACGGCAAAATGAGAAGCATCAGTGCGCACGGCCCACGAGCTCAATCATCTCATGTTCATCTCGGTGTTTAGAAAGAGAAAGCTGAGTGTTCCAGAGGAGCCGCGGACTCTGCGTAAAGTGCAGGAGAGCAACTGGAAGATGCGGGGAATATGGACCACCGCGCTATGCTCTGCTCTCCTCATCCAACTAACGTGTCCACAAAGGAAGCCAGACCATAAAAGGAAGAGCAGCCCTCATGGCTGCCGCACAGCGCGGACAGGTGCGGGGTGGGCAGCAGCGAGAGGAGGAGAACACGCTGCTTCATTACACGGGTGTATGTGAGATGAAAAGAGGTGTGGACACTCGAGCCCACAAGTAATCACGCCGCTTATTATCTGCAAACGACGCGTGTGGCATTCAGAGACTGTGGGGACAGACGGGCGCAAACAGTAATATCACATTTTAAACCTGCTGAGATACTTCTTGTGTTTTACTTTGTTTCCAACATCGTGAGTGGGGCTTTTTAAAATTCTCTGTCTGAGGTGACATATCAGTGAGATGTGGCAAAGCTTTTACATAAAACGACTCAAATTTGGTAACATTTGGGTTGGTGTGACAGCATACTGCGCAGTTATAATGTTTTATATGTGTGCTGTACTTTGATCCCATTTCCCATACACGTTTCTGCTATTAGGAATTATTGTTCACTCTGATAGTTCTCTTAACAAGCAAAAGCATCTGAGAATGGAGACTGCATTAGTACATAATGTGGGATGTGGCCCAGTCTGAACTCTAGCAGTTCCAAGTGTCTGTGGTTTAGTGGGTCACTTGTTAGTACTGATCCTCAAAAGAGGGTTAGCAATCTGTCACTCCCAAAACTCTGCTTTTATTTGGTGTTTGTTTAGAGGTCTGCAAACATCAAGTGAGTGTGAGTCACTCAACTAGAACATACAGAATGTACAAGAAACTTTGCTAATGCAAGGGTGGTAATGTCCTATTTTTCATTAGCAAAGCCTTTAACCTCCTAAGACCCGAACTCTTCCACGGCATGCATTTTAAATTTATCTTTGATATTTGGGCATATTGGGACCCAGTGAATGTAAAAACAAAGAATAACCAGATTTTTTTTTACCTGATTTCTGTTTCTAAGAAAAATGAGGGCCACATATGAGGATATTCATTTGAAATTTTGATAGAACAGTAGCAGTATAATGTCCTCGTAAGTGGATATCAGACCCCTGTTGAGCACAATTGAGTATTTTGGTCTAAATAACCCAAAATGTGATGTCCACATATGTGGCTGCCAGGTCCTAGGAGGTTAAGTCAAGTCACTTCAATTATCAGCTAGTTCAGTTGGAAAAAAAATGTACTTGTTGTCACAGGTTTGAATGCTCTTGCAGCAGATAAAGATGGCACAAATCTGTTACTCTTCTCACAAATAATAATGTTTAATTTTGCTCTGAGTCCTGTGACATGTTCAGGATGTACCCCAAATTTCAGGTGGGATAGACTTCAGCTCCTCAGTGACCCTGAATTGGAATAACAGTTGAGAAAATGTTCCAGCTGATGAAAGGATAGTACCATTATCTAGGTCCTTATGTATTTGGACAATGACACAATTTTTGCAATTTAGCTTTCATGCACTATTTTAAGTCCATGATTTAAGTGCAGATGTTCAATTTTAATTAAAGTGGCTTTACAGCCATTTTCCTGCAATTTCAGAGGTACAAAAACAATTGGACAAACTAACATAATTTAAAACATAAGCATTGTTTTTAATCCTTGGATGAAGATTGTTTGCTGGCAGTGGCTGCAAACCCATGTAACATCAGCATGTGCTACATTTCTTACTTTCGCATTATCTGTTAGGTCGTTATTGCAGCAGCAGTTACTTGCTGCTTGTTTGTGGTGCTTACTGAAAGAAAAACTGAAGGCAGAAATTGAAAAGCACAATCTGTTGGGTGGAGATAATGTGACTGAATTGGCCATTGAAGGATATCCCATCTCTTTGCCTTCACAAACCCATTGGTTGCTTTTGTAGTGTACTTTGGCTCATTATTTCTTTAACTGTGAATTTCTGTCCACATAGTTTTGGAGCATTTGGCTGAATCTAAGCAGAGTATAGCCCTGTGCACTTCAGTTCACCCTGACATATCTATTAACAGTCACACACTTGTGACCGCATTCGACATACCAATGCAATACCTCCACCATGTTTGTTTCAGATGCATGTTTTTCTCTTCCCATCATTCTGTTTTTTGTTTCTTTGTTGTTGTTTTTCTGTTTGTTGATCTGAATTGATCTTTGGTGTAAAAAAAAATCAATAGTACAAAGAATCATAGTAACCGAAATTTAGGCCTAATGAAGAAAAGGTTATGGGATCACCAAGTCATTGGAATTTAAATTATAATGGTTGATGAAACTTTCCTGCTAATTAATCAGAGATAGAGATGATCAGAGTGATTAGTCATTAGAGCCACAAATGTATCAGTTCAATTATTGTAATCTGATAAACAGTTGCCTTTTGCCCCTTGTTTTCTTTTTATCTGCTTTCTTGCTTGTTCCTTGTAAATGAACATGTGCAAATACACAAAAGCATGAAGCAAAAATGCAATGTGCATTGCTATAAAATTCAATATGAAATGAGGTTTCTCTGTGACTCGAAAATACATAGAAAGTTCTCTCAATATATCTCCTCTGGCCTTTGCTGGCAGCACTGACTGCCCTACTTTTGAGGAACAGGCCAGTCTACATGCAATTAAGAAATATGAATGTTTTAAATTAACATGGTTTGTGTTAAATCTGCACTCTGTAATAAGGGCTATCCACAACAGTGCTTTATTGTGGCATTTTGTATTATAAAATGACTCAACTAATTTTACTTTCCTGTCATTCACATGATGGCTAAGCTACTTTGGGACATTGCAATAGCTGAAGATTTAACCAACTGGATAGTACCTCCAAGCAAATAATCAAAAGCTGCTGATGGTGATTAGATTAGGTTAACAGTAGACAACAGCAGAACAGAAAAACAGAAGAAAATCAATTTCCACTACCACTATTATATCTATTGACCTGGGAGTCTTGCAGAATATGTTTTGCTTACCGGGAAAACAAAATCAATACAATGTCAATATTCAACCATTGTGGAAGAAGCCAATTCATCTCCCTATTGTGTTTATGAAAGCATGTAAGATATGTAACATAATGCTCATGACCTTTCAGATTTCTGTCCACTTGGAGTGTGGATGCTCTGGGGCTCAAGGCTAACACTTGGGATTATCACCCTGAGTGCTTGGGCAGGGATTTGTAAGCCCCTGATTCTAATATAAGGAAAAAAAATCAGAATGTCACTGCTAATGAAATGTGTGGGCACAACAGACTAGTGTTTTGTTTTTATTTTTTCCCTGCATGGACATTTCTTAATTCAACACACAGAGCTGGGTAATTGGAACTTCAATATAGCACTGGCAACATTTTTTTTTGATGCATCCAAAAAATTAACACAACATGATCTTTATGCTAAATGGCCTAGAGGGGTAGTAGTGAGTGTTATCTTAAAGCATGAAACCTGCATGGGTTTTCACTGAGGATTATTGTGTCACTGTTAATGATGACTTCTTTTTTTTTTTTTGAGTTAAAAGTAGTTTTAGTTAGAATGATTATTTTCTTTGTTTCCCCAGTGGTGCTTTGTCCAGGGCGTTCCCTTCCTTTTGCATCATTTGGGGTATGTTGAACCTATATTCTTTCCAATGGCCAACAGGGGGCAAATCCTCTGGTTTAATAGGAACCACTATTGTATAAAACAATCCATTCGTTAAGCGGTGACGTATGAACCCTGCTTCCGGGTCCAAACTACTATTTATTTATTAAAGCTGTTGTGTTTTTAACATGTTTTATTGTTTTGTATCTTGTTCTATTTCATCTGAACAAGCTCCTGAAAACAGTTACTGATCACTGTCGGCCTCTCTGTGTTTTTATTATCACTATTCGTTTTAAAGCTCGATTTTTAAAACCTTATGCTATTACTACAGCCCAGCCCATGCAGCAGAATATTAATGACTAACCTTGTATTGTGGATGGATTATCTCAGTTGTTCCCCTCAGTTGTTGAAAAGTAACTATTGCGTTACTTTAAAAAAATTTTAACCCTCTGGAGTCCAGGGTATAATTGGCCATTTTTACCTACTTTTTGATTTGACCTCTACATTTCACCTTTAAAAACTATTTACTGTGCCTTGTTTGGTATCATTCTTTTTAGCACAACCTCACGTGTCTGAATTTACAGTTATGTTTTCATTTTGACATACTGTATTAACACAATTGATCTAAAATCAGACAAAACACATAAAGTCAGAGTAGAAAAAGTTATAATTTTTTTGTAACAACCACAGACATGTTTATTGAATCATATTTCATACATTAAATGCAAACATAAATTGTCAATTTTTTAATCATATGCACAACTTGCATTAAACACAACACAAGACTTCTGGAAAAATGTCTTTTGGACCACCTCGGTTATGCAGAAGTTTGTAAAATAGTGATGAAAACAATAATCTATGTTTTCATGTTCATGAAAGTCACTGTCATGAACATGAAGTCATGATTAAATGAAGTTGATTTAAATGAAGTCATCGTAGGCATCGTAACAGATAAGTTTCCTCTTGCTAACCACCTTGGCCAATATGTGTGATACAGAAAACATGGATGAAAAAGTTGTTAAAAACTCCTTTAGTACATAAGCAAGGAAAATGTTGATGTTAATGGAGAGGGGAAAGCAGCTATACCCATGTCTGGCCTAAAAAAAAGGGAAGTTGACTAGGTACAGGCTCTCAACACTATCAGATTGCACACAATTAATTTTAATAGATATGTTGTCCTCACAGGACATATAATGAATTTAGTAAATACTTTATATTCAAGTAAATTTATATTCAAGTAAATGAGCTCAACCTTAAACATACAGTCAGGGAAAAAAATGATTTGAACTGAAGCTGACTTTATAAGTTCCCCCACTAACAAAGAAATGATCAGTCTATAATTTTAGTGGTAGGTTTATCCGAACAGTGAGAGACAGAACAACAACCAAAAAATACAGAAAAAATGCATTTCAAAAAAGTTATAAATTAATTCGCATTTTCATGAATGAAATAAGTATTTGATCCCCAGCAAGACTTCTGGCTCCCAGGTGTATTTTATACAGGTGTCAAGCTGACATTGGGAGCCTTCTCAATTCGTTACCTGTATAAAAGCTGTCCATCATTCATCATTGCAGATTCCAAACTCTGCACTATAGCTATGACTAAAGAGCTTTCCAAGGATGACAG